TTATCACAATCTACCCAATAATCAATTTATTCGAAATTATCAAATCAAACCTTAGTAATGATACCTATTAAACATGCATGGATATTATTCAGAAATGTTTTGATTTTTTAAAATAATACTTTCTTCTTAGCTCTCTTCTCAGATCTTTTTGTTCAAGATAACTATCCTACCTTCAGATTTTTCTTTCTTCATTTTTTTTTTATTGAGATCATGAACCGATTGATGTTAGAACACCATTAAGAACCTGGAAGTACTGTATGGTGTAATTTCAGGTATATAAAAATAGTGATATTTTAATTTGATTACCAATTTGTACGTTACATCATCTTAATCATATTGTCTCAGATATCATTACTACGCTATTTCAATAATTTTCTTGATTACTACAGTGTTTATTAACAGCTGTCTGCGTAAAATACTTCGGATCCGTCGAAAAGATACTATCAGCCACAATCTACTGTGGGAAAGAACAAACCTAATCCTAGTTGAGGAGGCAGTGTAGAAGAAGTGCTGGAAGTGGATAGGACAAACATTGAGGAAGTCACCCAACTGCGTCATCAAGCAATCTCTCACTTGAAATCTTCAATGCCAAAGGTAACGAGGACAACCAAATGACACATTGCACCGAGAAAGGGAGACAAATATGAGGATAATGAAAAAGAATTGGATAGAACAAAAAAGGAAAGTCCTGAAATTGAGTGTGCTGGAGAAGACTGGTCGGCGGCCTATCCTAACTACTGATCCGAACTTTTTATTTTTTTTGTGCATGTAGTCTTATCACTAAGACTATACTTAGGTATTGGTTAAATATGTAAACTAAACATTAAATACATTATTTATACATCTTCCTTCAAGTGCCGTTTACATGCTTCATGATTGTTCCAATTCCGTTTTTATTCCAATTGTTCTCTGTTTCCCTTGTTGTTTTACCCAATTCAACCTTCAGATATTAGGCCTTCCACTTCCGAATGGTACCACATGCCATCTATATCTATCAACGAAAGTAGCATATACCTCTATAAGAATAATAATGGCTCAAATCCATGTTTCACAACAGGAAGTAGGTCAGTGATTTAAAAATATAAACACTGAAATAACATTCGTTAAAAATTATTACATTGCGTCATAAGAAGTGTTCAGATAATTAGACAGCGAAACGTTTACTTGAAACAAGTAGGTGAACAAAATTAAACGATACAAAAGTATTGAAAATAATAGTTCGATCAAGGAAGAGATAAAAGGTGTTAGAAATTTCTTATACATACAGATACTTGGATTTTTAGCTCGAATTCTTATAGCTTCTATTGTGTAATAGAGGAGATCGAACTCCATAAGCAAAACTAGTAGGAATATGACAAATAACTTTAAATGAGCTATTTTTATCTACTACATGACCTCTATCGATTATATGTGATCAAATGTGACAATACCATTTCTTCTTATGAAGGAAGTTGTTCCCTAATTCGTTAGTTCAGTTTTCTGGTTGTACGATCAATATAGCTTTGTCCACAGAAGCAGCCGGATTCATAGATACATACAGATGTGGCGAAAACGGGTAACCTATCCTTTAGTTCAGGAATGCGAGAGTTTGGCTGGATAACGATAAACAGAAGTTAGCTGCTTTTTGAGTTTTGTTCAGTACATTGGTCGGTCTTTTTCGTACCTCATCACCAGCTATATCCGTTGAATGGTAACTTCAAGAAAAGATGTCTCCTACTAACTGTTGATGTCTCTTTTTCCCTGTTCATTACATGCAAGTCTTTCATCAACAAACCTTGTGGATAATCCATAATTCTACCCTAGTTCCTTGTTTATAGTGTGGTCTGAGCATATCTTCCTAGCCTTATTAGCAAGATATGTCACTCGTGAAATGTGTGTGCTGGCTTGCTGAAGAACTCTTGCTATACACACTTCTGTTGACGAGATCACTATGTTCTCTGTCTGACAAAATGTCGAGGAAATATAGTTTGTTATCAAGTTCCTCTTCACAAATAAATCTGATTGTTCAGTGCCTATTGTCGAATGGCTCTAAAAGATATTCTTTTCCACTATTCTTATCAACAACAATGGAATCATTATGATTGTATTAGCAATAAAAATTAAGTTTTTCAATAATCTCTTTTTTGAAAGGTATAGTTTCTAGTTTCTCAAGAAAAATGTCCTCAAGGACAGGACCCAGAGGTTAACCCATCGCTATTCCATTAATATTATCTGTTATTAAAGACAAAACGAACGTTCATCTTACATTTCAAAAGTAATTGTTTGAGACTAACCTAGAAAATTTGAATATTGTGTCACTATGTACCGACTTGGCTACCTTTTATAAGTTTGGTTATATTGGTTCTGTTTTTCATTCAGACCTTGAGTGAAACTGTTCAAATCCATGTTTAAACTTATGACATACTCAGTGAAAACTTTCGAGAGTGCCTGCATCTTTAACAAGACAACATAGCCCCACAGATCTAGCGCCTTAGATAATATATCACGTAGGTTGATAATAACGTAAAAAAACATGTCTTCCCAAAAGAATTTGGATGTTCAGTCAAAAGACAACGATACATGAAATACTTTTTGAGATGCCGTCCTCATGTGTGCCATTGTTTTGAAGTTATGACTTGTAATTCAACATGCATCATTTTGTTCCAGAAAGTACGGTAATTGGTTTCCATCGTTAATGTATTGAAGATTACCCCTGTGACGAATGTGCATTTTCGCCGAAGTTTAGTCGTTATGATAGTTTAGATCACCTAACCATTTAATCTGGAGCTCAAACTCACCTAGTTGACTTTTCGTTGGGATGGTTCTTTTTCCACAGCCTAGGCTCCCCTTAAGGTAACAGGAACAAAGATAAGAAACCTTTCACTTCTACACAAAATTGTGTCTACAGATTAGTTTATGTCGACTGTTACGAGTTCGACATTGGAGAGTCTTTCCGTAGGATCTCAACTCGCACCAAGGAATACTAGAGTTACAAAAACGACCTTATAATCATATAGTTTGATTTTGTGAAATTTTTTTTTTATGGTGTGATATGGTCTGGTCTTCATGTATGTTAAACATGTACCTCTGAAATATGTTATTCATACAGTGGAGTCAGATATTGTGTTCTGGACTCAGTGGGTTGGGCTAGACGAGAAGTTTCTATAACGAGTACCAATAAAGATTCAAAATTGACTCAAGGCTGCTAGTGCTGGTTGATGTGTCACTGATTCAGCACAGAGCAAGGTCACATAATTCGATATTCTTGTCGGAGATTTTGTAAAAGGATAATCGACAGAGGCACACCTTCTGTGTGTGATTAGAGTTGTAAAGGTAATAGCGTACGACTCAAATTGTCAGAATTAACATCAAGCCATTCTATGAAAGTAACTCAATCATCACTTTTTGTTTCAACCTACACTATAATCTTCGATTAATATGATTTTCCACTAGTTCCAGCAGTTATGTTATATATCTATCACTAGAAGAATTCGGATGCTTTAAATAGTTATTACTTTATGGCTCTTTCAATGATTAGTAACTGCAGAGTATTTACTTGATGTATTGCATCCCATGAACAAAAATGAGTGAATTTCTTAATTATATAACGAAGTTTGGTCGTAAATTCTTCATTTAAAGTCACTATTTAGATGTTTTTGGTTCAGGCTGTAGAATAACAGATTTTATTAATCTGAATAAAGTTAAATACACTGAGGTTTCACTGTCGACCACCTCTTACCACCATCTCATCTCAAAATAGTGCATACAATATCGAGTCACCTATACTAGTGGCCTCATTGCAACTTGTTCGATAGAATTAAATCTGAAGTAAGAAGGACCTGACCTACATGGCTGTTGTGAATGAAAACGTAGGTGGAGATGACCAAATCAAATTTTCTACATAACCTGACAGAGTCCTTGTTAAATTCTAAAATCTATACAGAGAATATTTCATTTGCAAATTTACATTATTTTTAATTTGCATTCTGTATATTTCTTCCAATTCACAATTCTATTCTATTTCCGTTTCTGTTCTCTTCAACTCTATCTTCTTAACCTTCTGTTGCCAGGTTTTCTACTTCCGATTGATAGAACATACTACTTATAACGACAGACACAAGTAGCGTACACTACACTACTACTCATTTACTCAGAATTTGTATTAACTAAAATTATCATCTCTACAACTAGGGCTTCAAATGTTCACGTATACCTATTGACTTTACTAGAAAAGTTCAAGGCAATAGTAGTAGCTAAAAAATCCAACACAAGAAATTCAACATAGATGGTTAACAACTTATTTATTGGTAAGATATATATATATCCAATGAAATAAATCTTTGACTGTAGATTTGAACGCATCTTTCACAAAAAAAGTAATATGCTTGGAATGATTAGAGTATGAGAAGTGATCATAACACCAATCACCATGACGCGCAATGCTGACTAGTGTTGGGGATAGTTGGAAGAATGTTAGGGGCGGAAAACCAAAACCTGGCATCAGTCAACAAAGTCACTAACTTCTGGTAGAACCATGTCACTAGATCTAGACTACTTGGTTGGGGTTTGTATGACTATAGTAACCAATGGTTGAAATAACACAGAATCGATCACAATGGCGTCGGTGTATACTCTCTCTATTTTTTGCCTTAAATCGTGAGATTAAAATAACTTTATACCCTTCTTTCTACGAACTAATTCTTTCTTCCTGTACTATATCCTTATACACAGTCTTTCTTTTATATATTACCACCATTGAATTAACTACTTCTATAAATTCGGTGTTCATCTTGTTGTACTAATGAGGTAAGGCAACTTGGACCGATGTATATATGCCTGGTCCTACGTTGTAGCTGACTGACTGACTGAGAGTATTAGAAAATATCATTACTGGATCAAAAATAGTACATTCACATACATTTTATATCGCATTATTATTGTCCAATAACAAATATAATAAGAAATTTTACAATTATCTGCAATTAAGTTGTACAGTGCTATTAATTTCCAACGTGGAAGTATTAGGTCCTTACCTGAAAAGTATAAAGCATTTATTTAAAATGTTTCTGAATATTTTCAAAGAAGTTGAAAAGTTAATTAAAAAATATAGATCTTTGTATACTCGACGAGACTATGAATTATGAACGAACCAATCAGATTTAAGATGATAGATCTCGGATTTTACCACGAAATTCGTTCATCCATTTGGTTAACTAGCGTTTAAGCATTTTAGCTTATATCAGTTCGTGGTGAAAACCTTAAATCTAATGCCTAATCTTAATCATCAACTGTAAATTATAATCCTAATTCCTCATATAGGTCTAGTTATCAGGTGGACACTCTCAAGGTCACTCTGGAGTCACACAAAGGTCATCCATAAATCATAGTCTTACCAGTAAATGAAACAACCGTCATATCATATTGTATTTAGAAAATTTACCATTTTTAACCGAATTAGAAACCAGAATATAGTGAGAATAATAGCAACAGCGATTCTGAAGACTCTCCCGAGCTCTCACATTGTACGAGTATTACATGTACTTAAATTAATGATTGTTCTGGTTGTCAGAAGAGGCATCAACCTAGTGACTCCCGAAAGAACTTGGCTTTCATCATGAGACGTTATAATTCTTCTAAATGAAGACCTTCTAATTCTCAGGGCAGAGTTTAAATGCTTTGAAATGCTTTCTCTGGTTAGCGTTTTTTTAGAGAGTTGGTTTCCTACAAGATTGGGTCGCTTACCTAATGCCTAAACCTCCTGCTTTATCCGGGCTTAGTACCGGCGACGGCCCCAGGGAATCCCCGGGTGGAATTGTGAGTTTAATAGGCGTTCATAAAAATGGGATTTCCTCGATCAGTACATGAATCTCTCAAAAAGTAGGTGGGGTGATTAAGTGATTAAGCACTTATTATAAAGTAAAAGTTCACTTTTTATTTCAGAGGTGACTTAAAGTTGATTGGGTATATTTCCTTCAAAAGCTATTTTCCTTTCAACATAACGTCTTCAAGTTATCCTATAGAGATAAATTGCTTTATGTCTCCTATATTGACATTCATATATACATATCGTTGTCAACGGATTATAGGCGAAAAACAAAAGTGATCGTGAATGTAATGATGTTAGACCACCATTAAAAACCTGGAAGCACTGGATGGGCATTTCTTCCTAGTATAGTACTCTTCATCAGCGCGTATCCGCAATGCTGATCGCGGGATTCGAACCCAGGGGCTTAGGTCTCGCGCGCGGACACATAACCTCTAGATCACTAAGCTGACATCCGATGATGTCAATGTCTAACTTCAATCAATCGAAAAAATTGCACGGCCATCTTCCATTGTACTGAGGTATATACCTGTCTCTACCTGATATGGAGTAGCTCCACTGGTCACGGCTTCTCACTAGAACTTTGAGAATTTTCAAACGAAGCTAATTACTAGTGAACTCATGTTAATTATCAGTATAGGGTTGTGGAGATTATTAAGTTTTTGACTGAGATCATGAACCGATTGATTTTATCATTTCTTATACTTTATACATGCACATAATAAACGTACCTTGCAAAACCTGTTAATATTAGGACATAAGATTTCCCCACTAAGTCTCGATTTTCCATCAGTTACATTAAAACGTACTGGCAGATCTTTCCTGGTACAATTCACAGTTGAATCTTTAAAGAATAAACCAAGCGTTCCATCATTATAACACTTGTACTAAATAAAAAAAAATACGATTTTGTGAAATAATTCGGGAATAAATTAATATGAAGAAACAATGAAACAGGTTAGATTAAAGATACTTTAAGGATTCTGAACGAAAGTTGTGGGTTTAAAATATATAGATATAACTGATATATTCCAACTAGAATAATGAATGGTAACTATTGGGATCCATTTATAGACAAATCATACACGCATATTTTTATCGTATAATTGTTAAGTAACTAAATTATTCATATTCTTGTTCCTCTTATGATTAGCGCTATTTTGACCCATAGACTATTATTATACAATTTACCGTTCTTGAGTCGTGCCCAGTCTATTCATTACAGCCTCCCTCATTCACAGCCACTTTTAACATGGTCTTGTACAAATGTTATTTCCAACTTCATGGTACGATGTGACCTGTTTGATCGGTATATGAGCCCAGTATGTTTAAGGTCACTAAGAACCAATCAACATCGAGGTGCACAGAACAAGCTTTGAAACACATATGGAGAAATTAAAACACTTCACTTCTATTTGAAGTTTGTGCTGATGATGTCGTTCAGAAGGACGATGAAAGCTCCACAACCAAACCATCCAGCTCAGAGAACAAAACTCCACCAAAATCATCCACCTGAGCTACAAATCTTCTCCACCAGCCCAGTATGTTTGAAATACATAATTCATATTGCAGAGGCTGAGATGGGTATTCTGAACTTAATAGGCAAGGATAGGCAGAAAGAAGGACTGATAAAAACTCTAGGCTGCTAGTACATGTTAAGGCATCCGGTCTATAAGGTACGAGGCTATAACTTATAACCATAGCATACATTTTCAGTCACACAACTAGAAACTGTTAATATGTCTAATTGCTAGACAATATTCAAGACTGAATTATTATTATACTATACTTCAGAAATTATACCTAGTTTTTAAATTAAGAGACATCTTTGTTAAACAACTTAATTTGAACAACATATCGTATAGTTCTTTTTATGATGAAATTTGATTTTTAGAAAATGCAACATTATTATACTTTAAGAAAAAGGGTGAAACAATTTATGGGTGTTGTTTACGACAAAAAGCGAATGTCTGGCGCTTTAACCGGGTCGCTGAACACGGAGGATTCACCGAGGGGAGTTGGAAAACCCTGATTCCAAACCAATAGTGCACATGGGCTCCAGGATCCTGTAGGAACAAATGGCGTATAAACCAATCGTTGATCACTGGCTACCATAGGACTGCATCTCTCGACTTTGCTCCACTGCCTGTGGATTAGATCTTTAGGTCGAAAGCACTGAGTGTGGCCCCCTAATACATAATTCGGTCTGGGCACCCGAGCAGCATCACAGCTCTTGCACAAATCGAATGATTTATGCGATGCATATCTATTTGATGCCTCATTGTACCAGTGTTTATATAAAAATTTTAAATAAATGAGTTCGAAAACATTATTTTTTTTAGAGTTTCGTGACTTTATATAGGCCACTTCCTCAGGGTGAAAAGACAATTTATTTATCGATGGAATAAAAATATGTAATAATAAACAGATAAGAAAGAATTAGTCCCTGAATTTTCTGAAGTAAAATAGTGTTCAATCTCGAAAAACACATATTCCAGATAACTTTAATGACTATCGAGCTGTTTTACAAATTAATCTCGTATGAAGTCTGTGAGGTGTCTTTAGTATTTCACACTGTGAAGATCGAATTCAAGACAAAGCTGTTCTGTTTTACATGATTTTCTACTGTTTTTCGGTGATGCAACCTATCTAACTTGAACTGATATTACTCAAATGTCATCAAACATTTACATCATCTTGAAAGTTTGGTCTTGTCTTTAAAAACTCAATAGATGACAGAAATATAAAAGAGAACAAAACTGTACCTTATGACAACTTCCTTTCAAATATGTCCCTAAAGTGTATTCATGTTTGTGGGTGTAATTCCAAACACCTCGATGTTCAACACAAATCCCATTTAGTCCATATGTTTGATAGTATTGGTTAACGCCTTCACCTAATATGGAAGATGAGTTTTAAATAACTGATTAATTATTTCTTATCCAGTCAGAACGACTAGCTAAGTACACAGGTAGATCAACAATGTAAATATCTGATTAGAAAAAAAAGGAAACATAAATTCACTTGGCATTGTTTACTTGAATCTTTCCAGTTGATATTTAGGACTGCAGTTGATCAGTCTCTTATCGGCATATGAGCATACTGGGCGTGTTGCCTCGATATTGTCTCAATTTACAAGAATTATAAGTAAAGATGGATAAAGGCTTGCAGTGGAATAGGGTGGTGACTTTTGAAGCGAACGGTACTGGGTTCGAGTCCCAGAGTGAACATCAACTCTGAGCTACAGGTGCATCCAACTGACGAGTCCGGAATAGGACGAAACGTGAGTCGCGGACTCCACTATTAATCACTATACATCCTTGCTTATAATATTAGGAAACATCTGTTTCTCATGGTTATTTAACTGTCGTATATTTTCTACATTTTACGAAACAATTTTAGAATTCTAATGAAGAGCATTGAATGTTTAGCAAAATGATACATAAGCCATTATAGATATGCTAAGTACACCTAGGGTTTACTTTGCATCCATGATATAATGGTATCTTTGCTATTGAAAATACCATACAGTTTCAAATTCTAAGTATAATACAATAAGTAAGTGAATTTTCCATTCTAAAACCGATCCAAGTTGATTATTTAATCAATAAAAAGTACAATCAGCAAACAAACATTAGAGAATCGCTTTAACTATTCTTCTCATGTAAAATATTTGATGGGCTAACTATATTTGTGAATAAAGCTTAAAACGCTTTTCTAACCAGTCTACTCAAAATTCTTCACCACATGTGTTTTGTGAATAGGTGATTCGATATATGATCATCTTATAAGAATTAAGTCAATTGTATTCACAGAATACTGGATTTGTAATTGTGTAATTCAATGATAGGTTAACGAAGAAGTAAATTGAATAATGGCTAGTAGTGGAATCCAAGACATGCGGTTCGTCCTATTCGTCAGCTGGATATACTTGTATCTTAGAGTTGATGTTCATTCTGGGACTCAATATCGATATTGTGGCAGTCCGCACAGGACAAGTATATATGAACAACAAGAGACTGGTTAATTCCAGATTCATGAGTCAATTGAAGCTAGACCATCATAGAAAACCTGCAAGCAGTGTTTTTGGGATAGTAACTCACTTGAGACAATAGTGGACGGTAGCGCAAACTGGCAGATTGTTTGAAGTTAAATATAACACCGCTGGATGCCGGCTTAGCGGTCTGTAGGTTAAGCGTCCGCGCGCAAGACTGATAGGCCCTGGGTTGGAATCCCTCGGGACAGGATCGTTGATCTGCATTGCTGAGTCGTCATATGCTAGGAAGAAACAGCCGACCAGTGCCTCCAGGTTTTTCATGGTGGTCTAGATTCAATTGACTCAAGAATTCAATTATCAAATTAGTACAATCTCTACAAAACCCCTCTGATTAGACTATATATATTTATATTCCTCTTATTATAAGCCTTTATTTGAACTACTAACCACTAATATCGACTTGTTATCCTTAATTTTGTCCCAATCTATTAGTTACGGTCTCTTGAACTTACAATCACTTTTAGTTTTGACCTTGTGAAATCCATTTTTATAGTCTTATGGTTTGATACGGTTTGGTCTGCATGTAAGTGGAACACGTACGTCTGAAATATGTCGTTCATACAGTGGAGTCGGATATTGTGTTCTGGACTCAGTGGGTTGGGCTAGACGAGTTTCTATAGCGAGTACCAATAAAGATTCAAAATTGACTCAAGGCTGCTAGTGCTGGTTGATGTGTCACTGATTCAGCACAGAGCAAGGTCACATAATTCGATATTCTTGTCGGAGATTTTGTAAAAGGATAATCGACAGAGGCACACCTTCTGTGTGTGATTATAGTTGTACAGGTAATAGCGTACGACTCAAATTGTCAGAATTAACATCAAGCCATTCTATGAAAGTAACTCAATCATCACTTTTTGTTTCAACCTACACTATAATCTTCGATTAATATGATTTCCCACTAGTTCCAGCAGTTATGTTACATATCTATCACTAGAAGAATTCGGTCGCTTTAAATAGTTATTACTTTATGGCTCTTTCAATGATTAGTAACTGCAGAGTATTTACTTGATGTATTGCATCCCATGAACAAAAATGAGAGACTTTCATAATTATATATAACGAAGTTTGGTCGTAAATTCTTCATTTAAAGTCACTATTTAGATGTTTTTGGTTCAGGCTGTAGAATAACAGATTTTATTAATCTGAATAAAGTTAAATACACTGAGGTTTCACTGTCGACCACCTCTTACCACCATCTCATCTCAAAATAGTGCATACAATATCGAGTCACCTATACTAGTGGCCTCATTGCAACTTGTTCGATAGAATTAAATCTGAAGTAAGAAGGACCTGACCTACATGACTGTTGTGAATGAAAACGTAGGTGGAGATGACCAAATCAGATTTTTCACATAACCTGACAGAGTCCTTGTTAAATTCTAAAATCTATACAGAGAATATTTCATTTGCAAATTTACATTATTTTTAATTTGCATTCTGTATATTTCTTCCAATTCACAATTCTATTCTATTTCCGTTTCTGTTCTCTTCAACTCTATCTTCTTAACCTTCTGTTGCCAGGTTTTCTACTTCCGATTGATAGAACATACTACTTATAACGACAGACACAAGTAGCGTACACTACACTACTCATTTACTCAGAATTTGTATTAACTAAAATTATCATCTCTACAACTAGGGCTTCAAATGTTCACGTATACCTATTGACTTTACTAGAAAAGTTCAAGGCAATAGTAGTAGCTAAAAAATCCAACACAAGAAATTCAACATAGATGGTTAACAACTTATTTATTGGTAAGATATATATATATCCAATGAAATAAATCTTTGACTATAGATTTGAACGCATCTTCTCACAAAAAAGTAATATGCTTGGAATGATTAGAGTATTATAAGTGATCATAACACCAATCACCATGACGCGCAATGCTGACTAGTGTTGGGGATAGTTGGAAGAATGTTAGGGGCGGAAAACCAAAACCTGGCATCAGTCAACAAAGTCACTAACTTCTGGTAGAACCATGTCACTAGATCTAGACTACTTGGTTGGGGTTTGTATGACTATAGTAACCAATGGTTGATCACAATGGCGTCGGTGTATACTCTCTCTATTTTTTGCCTTAAATCGTGAGATTAAAATAACTTTATACCCTTCTTTCTACGAACTAATTCTTTCTTCCTGTACTATATCCTTATACACAGTCTTTCTTTTATATATTACCACCATTGAATTAACTACTTCTATAGATTCGGTGTTCACCTTGTTGTACTAATGAGGTAAGGCAACTTGGACCGATGCATATATGTGCCTGGTCCTACGTTGTAGCTGACTGACTGACTGAGAGTATTATAAAATATCATTACTGGATCAAAAATAGTACATTCACATACATTTTATATCGCATTATTATTGTCCAGTAATAAATATAATACGAAATTTTACAATTATCTGCAATTAAGTTGTACAGTGCTATTAATTTCCAACGTGGAAGTATTAGGTCCTTACCTGAAAAGTATAAAGCATTTATTTAAAATGTTTCTGAATATTTTCAAAGAAGTTGAAAAGTTAATTAAAAAATATAGATCTTTGTATACTCGACGAGACTATGAATTATGAACGAACCAATCAGATTTAAGATGATAGATCTCGGATTTTACCACGAAATTCGTTCATCCATTTGGTTAACTAGCGTTTAAGCATTTTAGCTTATATCAGTTCGTGGTGAAAACCTTAAATCTAATGCCTAATCTTAATCATCAACTGTAAATTATAATCCTAATTCCTCATATAGGTCTAGTTATCAGGTGGACACTCTCAAGGTCACTCTGGAGTCACACAAAGGTCATCCATAAATCATAGTCTTACCAGTAAATGAAACAACCGTCATATCATATTGTATTTAGAAAATTTACCATTTTTAACCGAATTAGAAACCAGAATATAGTGAGAATAATAGCAACAGCGATTCTGAAGACTCTCCCGAGCTCTCACATTGTACGAGTATTACATGTACTTAAATTAATGATTGTTCTGGTTGTCAGAAGAGGCATCAACCTAGTGACTCCCGAAAGAACTTGGCTTTCATCATGAGACGTTATAATTCTTCTAAATGAAGACCTTCTAATTCTCAGGGCAGAGTTTAAATGCTTTGAAATGCTTTCTCTGGTTAGCGTTTTTTTAGAGAGTTGGTTTCCTACAAGATTGGGTCGCTTACCTAATGCCTAAACCTCCTGCTTTATCCGGGCTTAGTACCGGCGACGGCCCCAGGGAATCCCCGGGTGGAATTGTGAGTTTAATAGGCGTTCATAAAAATGGGACTTCCTCGATCAGTACATGAATCTCTCAAAAAGTAGGTGGGGTGATTAAGTGATTAAGCACTTATTATAAAGTAAAAGTTCACTTTTTATTTCAGAGGTGACTTAAAGTTGATTGGGTATATTTCCTTCAAAAGCTATTTTCCTTTCAACATAACGTCTTCAAGTTATCCTATAGAGATAAATTGCTTTATGTCTCCTATATTGACATTCATATATACATATCGTTGTCAACGGATTATAGGCGAAAAACAAAAGTGATCGTGAATGTAATGATGTTAGACCACCATTAAAAACCTGGAAGCACTGGATGGGCATTTCTTCCTAGTATAGTACTCTTCATCAGCGCGTATCCGCAATGCTGATCGCGGGATTCGAACCCAGGGGCTTAGGTCTCGCGCGCGGACACATAACCTCTAGATCACTAAGCTGACATCCGATGATGTCAATGTCTAACTTCAATCAATCGAAAATATTGCACAACCATCTTCCATTGTACTGAGGTATATACCTGTCTCTACCTGATATGGAGTAGCTCCACTGGTCACGGCTTCTCACTAGAACTTTGAGAATTTTCAAACGAAGCTAATTACTAGTGAACTCATGTTAATTATCAGTATAGGGTTGTGGAGATTATTAAGTTTTTGACTGAGATCATGAACCGATTGATTTTATCATTTCTTATACTTTATACATGCACATAATAAACGTACCTTGCAAAACCTGTTAATATTAGGACATAAGATTTCCCCACTAAGTCTCGATTTTCCATCAGTTACATTAAAACGTACTGGCAGATCTTTCCTGGTACAATTCACAGTTGAATCTTTAAAGAATAAACCAAGCGTTCCATCATTATAACACTTGTACTAAATAAAAAAGAAATACGATTTTGTGAAATAATTCGGGAATAAATTAATATGAAGAAACAATGAAACAGGTTAGATTAAAGATACTTTAAGGATTCTGAACGAAAGTTGTGGGTTTAAAAATATAGATATAACTGATATATTCCAACTAGAATAATGAATGGTAACTATTGGGATCCATTTATAGACAAATCATACACGCATATTTTTATCGTATAATTGTTAAGTAACTAAATTATTCATATTCTTGTTCCTCTTATGATTAGCGCTATTTTGACCCATAGACTATTATTATACAATTTACCGTTCTTGAGTCGTGCCCAGTCTATTCATTACAGCCTCCCTCATTCACAGCCACTTTTAACATGGTCTTGTACAAATGTTATTTCCAACTTCATGGTACGATGTGACCTGTTTGATCGGTATATGAGCCCAGTATGTTTAAGGTCACTAAGAACCAATCAACATCGAGGTGCACAGAACAAGCTTTGAAACACATATGGAGAAATTAAAACACTTCACTTCTATTTGAAGTTTGTGCTGATGATGTCGTTCAGAAGGACGATGAAAGCTCCACAACCAAACCATCCAGCTCAGAGAACAAAACTCCACCAAAATCATCCACCTGAGCTACAAATCTTCTCCACCAGCCCAGTATGTTTGAAATACATAATTCATATTGCAGAGGCTGAGATGGGTATTCTGAACTTAATAGGCAAGGATAGGCAGAAAGAAGGACTGATAAAAACTCTAGGCTGCTAGTACATGTTAAGGCATCCGGTCTATAAGGTACGAGGCTATAACTTATAACCATAGCATACATTTTCAGTCACACAACTAGAAACTGTTAATATGTCTAATTGCTAGACAATATTCAAGACTGAATTATTATTATACTATACTTCAGAAATTATACCTAGTTTTTAAATTAAGAGACATCTTTGTTAAACAACTTAATTTGAACAACATATCGTATAGTTCTTTTTATGATGAAATTTGATTTTTAGAAAATGCAACATTATTATACTTTAAGAAAAAGGGTGAAACAATTTATGGGTGTTGTTTACGACAAAAAGCGAATGTCTGGCGCTTTAACCGGGTCGCTGAACACGGAGGATTCACCGAGGGGAGTTGGAAAACCCTGATTCCAAACCAATAGTGCACATGGGCTCCAGGATCCTGTAGGAACAAATGGCGTATAAACCAATCGTTGATCACTGGCTACCATAGGACTGCATCTCTCGACTTTGCTCCACTGCCTAGTGGATTAGATCTTTAGGTCGAAAGCACTGAGTGTGGCCCCCTAATACATAATTCGGTCTGGGCACCCGAGCAGCATCACAGCTCTTGCACAAATCGAATGATTTATGCGATGCATATCTATTTGATGCCTCATTGTACCAGTGTTATATAAAAATTTTAAATAAATGAGTTCGAAAACATTATTTTTTTTAGAGTTTCGTGACTTTATATAGGCCACTTCCTCAGGGTGAAAAGACAATTTATTTATCGATGGAATAAAAATATGTAATAATAAACAGATAAGAAAGAATTAGTCCCTGAATTTTCTGAAGTAAAATCGTGTTCAATCTCGAAAGAACACATATTCCAGATAACTTTAATGACTATCGAGCTGTTTTACAAATTAATCTCGTATGAAGTCTGTGAGGTGTCTTTAGTATTTCACACTGTGAAGATCGAATTCAAGACAAAGCTGTTCTGTTTTACATGATTTTCTACTGTTTTTCGGTGATGCAACCTATCTAACTTGAACTGATATTACTCAAATGTCATCAAACATTTACATCATCTTGAAAGTTTGGTCTTGTCTTTAAAAACTCAATAGATAACAGAAATATAAAAAAGAACAAAATTGTACCTTATGACAACTTCCTTTCAAATATGTCCCTAAAGTGTATATATATTTGTCGGTGTAAGTCCAAACACTTCGATGTTCAACACAAATCCCTTTTGATCCATATGTTTGATAGTATCGGTTAATGCCTTCACCTAATATAGAAGATGAGTTTTAAATAACTGATTAATTATTTCTTATCTATTCAGAACGACTAGCTAAGTACACAGGTAGATCAACAATGTAAATATCTGATTAGAAAAAAAAGGAAACATAAATTCACTTGGCATTGTTTACTTGAATCTTTCCAGTTGATATTTAGGACTGCAGTTGATCAGTCTCTTATCGGCATATGAGCATACTGGGCGTGTTGCCTCGATATTGTCTCAATTTACAAGAATTATAAGTAAAGATGGATAAAGGCTTGCAGTGGAATAGGGTGGTGACTTTTGAAGCGAACGGTACTGGGTTCGAGTCCCAGAGTGAACATCAACTCTGAGCTACAGTGAATCCAACTGACGAGTCCGGAATAGGACGAAACGTGAGTCTCGGATTCCACTATTAATCACTATCCATCTTTGCTTATAATATTAGGAAACATCTGTTTCTCATGGTTATTTAACTGTCGTATATTTTCTACATTTTACGAAACAATTTTAGAATTCTAATGAAGAGCATTGAATGTTTAGCAAAATGATACATAAGCCATTATAGATATGCTAAGTACACCTAGAGTTTACTTTGCGTCCATGATGTAATGGTATCTTTGCTATTGAAAATACCATACAGTTTCAAATTCTAAGTATAATACAATAAGTAAGTGAAATTTTCCATTCTAAAACCGATCCAAGTTGATTATTTAATCAATAAAAAGTACAATCAGCAAACAAACATTAGAAAATCGCCTTAACTATTCTTCTCATGTAAAATATTTGATGGGCTAACTATATTTGTGAATAAAGCCTAAAACGCTGTTCTAACCAGTCTACTCAAAATTCTTCACTACATTTGTTCTGTGAATAGATGATTCGATATATGACCATTTTATAAGAATTAAGTCAATTGTATTCACAGAATACTTGATCTATAATTGAGTAATTCAATGATAGGTTAACGAAGAAGTAAATTGAATAATGGCTAGCAGTGGAATCCAAGACATGCGGTTCGTCCTATTCGTCAGCTGGATGTACCGGTATCTTAGAGTTGATGTTCATTCTGGGACTCAATATCGACATCGTAGCAGTCCTCACAGGACAAGTATATATGAACAACAAGAGACTGGTTAATTCCAGTCCTAAATAACAATGAGACGATACAATTAAATAACATCAAATGAAAAAAGTGGGATAATTAAATCTCAACTGAATGATTTTTAATAAAGTTCCACGTCAAACGTATAAAATATTTAACTTGATAACTTATCGATGTGAGACTTTAATTTATGGACGATCATTGAGTAATGCTAAAGTGACCTTCAGAATATTCACCTACTTACTAGAGCTAAATGAGGGTTATAAACCTGTGAGAAGAAAAGAAGATTATAATTTTCCTTTGATGGTCAGAGTTAGGAATTAGATTTAAGGTAATTCACTACGAACTGACATAAGCTAAGATACCAGAACTCTATTTACTCAAATGGATGAATGAATTTCGTGCCGAAATCCAAGACCTCTTATATTAAATCTGATTGACTCGTTCATAATTTATAGTCTCTTCCCTATTGATGAAAGTATGCTATTAAGCTAAACGTATACTATACTATACAGAAAAAAAAATGCTTACGTGATAATTTCTCATTCTCCTGATGTGTACAGAATGATGTAGCTGAATATTCACTGCCCAAACCTTTAACATACTACAAATGTGGGAGAGTAAGGTTAGTCCAATATAATACATCATTATTATGAGAAGATATTTTCTTACAAAAATGGCGAGACTATAATTAATGGACGACCTTTGAAGGGATCTTGTATGAGCTTGAGAAATATTAGCCATTTTTAATATTTGAGATCACGAGTCAATTGAAGCTAGACCAACATGGAATACCTATAGGCAGTGGACGGCCGTTTCGTCCTAGTATGGGACTCCTCATCTGTGCTCATCCACAATCTCACTTCGCGAGCTTCAAATCCAGTACCTATCAGTCTCGTGCGCTAGCGCCTAACCATTAGACCACTGGGCCGACATCCAACGTGGTCGCGGATGCACACTGCTGAGGAGTCCTACAGTCGTCTAGTGCTTCCAGGTTTCCATGGTGGTCTAGCTTCAACTGACTCATGTCTCAACTATTCAAATTACTATAATATCCACAAAACCCCTTCAAATATTAGCCAATTAGAAAACAGTTAGTATAGAGTAAAATTCTATTATATATAACTGAAGAATTAAAATGGATACACTTCTTTTATATGGTTGAGAAACTTGTCAAAGTTAGAAAGAGGTTCAGAGTTTCTAAAATTGTGATCAATATAGTAGAGGGAATCATCCATATGGCTCTATAATTGTCGACCTCTGGAGCCATGATGAATACGCAAAAAATTTCTGCCTTGATCACATTTCTTCAGTATTGTTTGTGTGCACTCCGGTGGTTGGATCTATAAAATGCCACTTGTGGATAAAGACACGATGCACATAAACAAGTCTCTTTAGGTGTCTGTACGCTTTTCATTCATCCGTTTATATTGTAGTACTCTGTAGCAGCCAGTGTTACTGGTGCTCTTATTATCCAGTTCGCAACGACTGTCGTAATTTGCCTTACTCTCGATCTGCATAGAGCGAAAAAATCCTATCACGTTTTCTCTAAAACCCGCTGCGAAATGATCGTATGTGAGCACCAGGTACGGAAATTGACATCATGACCCTGAAATTCCTGAAACGCTCCTGATTAACTGGTCCATAAATTATAGTCTAGCCAAGTGATTTTGAGTAGTACTGAACAATTGAAACTATTTTAACTGTTATTTATTCAAAACAACCATTTGTAATTTTCTATGTTAAAACAGTATCATTTCCCACATATTAACTAATATAAGCTTCACCATATATTCCATTAAAAGTACTTGTTATTTATATAAATATAATTATGTAGTGGCTTTGTTTCGTTAATCAATCACCCTCGATAACCATTATTATATAAATCTCAACGGCGTTTGAAATTAGAAGGCAAAGAGAAGTGGCAATTACAGTGTATTAGCGGATAGCACAGATCACAAAGCTATAAGCACACTAAGCAAATTTGAAGCAGAGAGGCGTATATGTGTATGCGTGCAATTACATAAGCAAATTTATAGTCAAGTTGCATGAAGGCACAGCAAGACAAACCAAAAGCTAATAATCGGATTCGAGTACATAAATACATAGGGATCGGAATGAATCATCGGATGATATTTAAGCAATCAACATTTTAGCTAGAGTCTGTCATGTTCTTAGTGATCATAACGGTACAATGAAATATAAAATTGTTACTGTTCAAATAAGATTGTCCGTTAAGTAAATTAATAATAGGGTTTAGCCAAAGTGAACCATAATCGAAATTTGTTGGCGTTTGAAGCGAACAGTATTGGGTTCGAGTCCCAGAGTGGACATCAAATCTGAGATGCAGGTACATCTTACTGACAAGTCGCGAACAGGACAAAATGCGCGTCCTGGATTCCACTGATATCCACTATCCATCTTTTGCTTATAATGCTTGTTGTAGGATAGTTTCTATATTTATATCATTTCAGATTATTTCACAGTAATAGTGAAAATATCTTTTTATCTAAATATGATTCATTGTAAAACCTAAATATTTTCAATCATTGTATTCATGACTCCATTAAAGCTAGACCACCATTGAAAACCTGGTAGGACTGGACGGCAGTTTTGTCCTTGTATGGGAGCATTAATTGATAATATCACACATGAATAATGGTGGTAATTCATGTTTTCGTCACAGATTCATACATGAAAGTCGGTACAGGCGAACATATTTTAAATTATAAATAGTTAATTTCTGATTATGGTCAGGAATGAAAAATGATTATAGAAGTTGACCGAGAACCCTAGGTCATAATATTAAACGTTATAAGGTGAAATATTCACAAGAATGTGGAGCAATCAACTTACAACCATTGTTGGACAATAATCTTTAAATGGATCTTCCCCACCGAAATATTCAGGACCATATTGAGTATCAAATGGGGCTTTTAGAAAGAAACGATCTTCTATGGGAACTGGATTTTGATATCTTAAAATACTGCACGTTCCATATGAGAATGCATCCCGACATCTTGCTTCATTGACATTGTCACAGAATGGGATAATTTTCCTGCCGCTTAACGAAAAAACAAACAATCAATTTTAAAGTCAATTAGTAATTTCATTTTTCGTCATGTATACTTATTCAAAACAATTTACTATGCCATCAACAAACAAAGTATTATGTTTGAAGTTAAATATCAACAGCAAACAGTTAGACAATTTCATTATGCAATGTTTGAAGTGATTACAAGTTCACCTAGTCTGAGAACGAAACAAGGACTCTGTGACCAAAGATCAATAAGTTAGCTATTCTGATGCATCACAGCCCCATTAACTAGAGAGAGAACTTCATGTTCGAAACAGAGGAACATACCTCGCAAGCAGCAAGAAGCACGAGAAATAATAACAGGTAAAAATCAAACACATATATACAACAATGAATTGTCCTTAGGAAGCGTTACAAAATTGCATACTAAAAGATACAATGAACCAATAGTGTTTAAGATTCTCCCAAGTGGGAAATACAACCCGACAGTGAAAATGAGCGCCTTTGGTACGAAAACAAGAAATCCAAATTTTAAAATAAATTTACAATAATAAGGTATTGACCAAATGAGTTCTGGGGATCTAACATCCCCAACACATTAGGTAGTTCATCTTTGCTGTTCTATTTTAACTTGATGGTATATTGAAAGGTAAGAATTTTTGATAAATTGATAGACATCTAATATACTCAGAAGTATAAATATTAAAGAATAGATCTGAATTATTGAATTACCAGTTGCGATCGCATTATGTAACTGAGTTACATGATTTAAGAATTATCACATGGCAAAGCAAGAGCCTTAATCTTAAAATCAAAGAATATATGCAACTCAAAACAACTGTCTTTCAACAATATCAAAGTCAAAATCTTCAATTACAACATCAAGACTGTCCTACTGTACAGAGCTGAAACGTGGAGAACCACTACAACCATCATCAAAGAGGTACAAGTATATATAAATACTTATCTACGCATCATATTCAATATCCAACATTGACCGGATACCATCAGTAACAGCCTTCTGCAGCAGAGAACAAATCAGATTACAGCAGAAGATTAAATTGGGAAAAGTTGTTGAAAACGGATAGGACACACTGCGAAAATCATCAAACTGTATCACGAGGCAAGCCCTAACTTGGAATCTTGAAGGCAAGTGAAAAAGAGGAAAACCAAAGAACACATTACGTCGAGAAATAGAAGTAGATATGTAAAGGTTGAGTAACAACTGGAAAGAAGTGGAAAGGATTTCTTGAGACAGAGACAGAGTGTTGGTGGTTGGCCTATGCCCCTCCACGAGGAGTAACAGACGTAAGTAAATAAGTAACATATATTTTGTCGATTAGACATATGAAGGTATTGAACAAAGAATAATATTATAAATTCATAAATGAAATGACAACTGACTCACTATTGTCGTCTAATTTGAACATAGTCGAAGCAACTTTTCATGCTAAAGTCACATCCTAATTGTCTACCATATTCCCATTTCATCGCTTTTGAGTAATCAACAGTGTACCAACTTGAAAATGACATAAAAGAATTTATAAAGTCAAATTCCACATCATTAACGAATGAATAACAATAATGAAAGTTAGTACAGAATACACCAGATGGCGATATAATTAATACAGGCTACTAAGTAAAGATGATAGTTAATTTATAGTTTACTTTTTGGATGAAAAGTGCTGTTGGGCGGCCTACGCTCCACGAGGAGTAACAGGCGTAACTAAGTAAGTGAGTAAGTAAGTATAGTTTATTGTAACTGAAAAGGATTGATTACCAGATAAATTCAAAATGAGTGTTTTAGACAAGTGTGATAAAAAAGAAAAAGTGAAGAACAACGAACGTGATGAAGTGTATATAGTTTTGAGAAGAGTGGTATTGTATAACAAAATTTGAGGTTTTATAACAAAGATAGTTTTATTAAGGATAAACCTGTCATTTGTTGACATGGTTAAAGTATATGCACAACTATTGTGGGTTTGGTATGGCGGATGTGTCACTCAATTTAGTGGACTAGTTGAAGTGAGACATTAACACCGTTAGATCCCGACTGGCTCAGTGCCGAGAAGTTTAAGAGTACTTGCGCGAGATTAATAATTCTTGTGTTCGAATCCCGCGGGAGAGGGTCATGGGTGAGCATTGCTGAGAAGTCCCGTAATAAAAGGTTGGCCTCCCAATGTTCCCAGGCTTTCCATGGTGGTTTAGCTTCAATTGACCCATGATCTCAACTATTGAAATTACTACAATCTCCAGAAAACCCCTTTCTGATATGAATGAATCATTTAATGTATTTTGGTTTGGAAAATATTTTATATTCGCTTAATAAAAAATATGAAACTGAGTTCAGAAACCTTCAGTCTGTTCAGTCATTTCCATCATGTCTCTGAGCCAATGTTGGCGTTTACGACAGTGTTCTATCCCGACGAGAATAATGAATGGTAACTGTTGGGATTTATTTATAGACAAATCATACACACATATTTTTATCGCATAATTGTTAAGTAACTAAACTTTTCATATTCTTTGAATATGAAAAAGAGAATTCAGCGAAGAAAATTTCCTTTTCGACGAAATCATTTACTTAAGCTGTACATTCGTATATATAGTTATATGCAAAATGTATTTCTATAGAAGGATAGAAAGGATTGTATCATATTTTTGTTCCTCTTATGATTTGAGCTATTTCGACCCATAGACTATTATTATACGATTTACCGTTCTTGAGTTGTGTCCAGTCTATTCATTACAGTCTCCCTCATTCACAGCCAATTTTAACTTGTTCTTGTACAAATGTTATTTCCAAATTCATTGTACGATGTGGTCTGATTTGTTTGTATATAAACCCAGTATATTTGAAATGCGTGATTCATATCACGGACGCTGAGATTGGTGTTGTGGACTTAACCTGCAGGGCTAAACAGGAAGAAGGACCGATAAAGACTGTAAACTCCTCGTACTTGTTTTATGCGTTATTGGTCTGGTCGATTAATCACTGTTCTTTAATTGGCGGTATCATTACGGCACATATTGATCGGGGCACAAGTCCACAAGTTATAACAGACAGAAGTAGGTTCATAGACTGTGCGATTCATTCAGTTTCAAAAAAATGTGTAGTAAGGTAACAGTTACAATAAAAATGGACCATCTGTAACACTAATCTCACTGAATATAAATATATATTGGCTATGCCAGTTGGTACTGACTTCCAATAATATTTATAAACACTTTTCATGACTACACATAATTTTGCATAAAAGTTACTTAAGTTCGAGAAAGGACTCAATCAGATTATTTAAGTTTTTGATATTTCAAAGTCCTGGGCGAAGAATCAAAACACATTTATATCATAACTAATGAGGGTTGACAACAATATATATTCAAACATGTTTAGCCATATCCTTTTAGACTGCCTCTAGTAATATCATTCCAAAACCTGCAAACATAGGCTCGTGGAGTCCAGCTTTCGAAATCGTTAACGAAACCAAATCTATTATCAGAGATTCTGAACGATAATGGACGTGATTCTTTTACATCTGTCGTTGTAATAAAAAAATAGGTAATTACTTTGTCTAACTTTGCTTACCCCGAATCCTCAAAGAAGCTGAGAGTAACACGCGATACAGAGTAATCAGGTTGTATCATTGCAGCCATTATTTCGCTCTGAAATCCAAGATGATAATACACTACATAAATAATGAAGCAACTAACATTTATGGTCATAAAAGAATACAAATTTTTAAGCTATTTTATTCTCAATAGTATTTACGTTCTAACCTTTACTGACAAAGGGTATTTCCTTAGGCACGTATCCTACTACTAATAATAAATGAAAAGGCCCTACTTACCGTACTGAAATGTGATACTTTGTTCAAATGAGTAATCAATGATGATTGCAACTGGATCCAAGACCTACATTTCGTTCTATTTAGGATTCGTCAGCTGGAAAGAACATCAACTCCGGGATTCAGGTACATCCAGCTGACGAGTCCCAAATAGGACAAAACGTGCGTCACAACGTCACAAATAACTATCACTCTTGACAAAAGTGTAATATCACGGTAATTGTTTAACATGTTGACTTTATTTGCTACTTAACTCCTTAATACTCTTAATTCAATGCAAATAATTTCAGAAATAACGAAATACATATTTTTGATAGTTCATTTTAGACAAATGTTTAAACAATGTTTCTTTATCACACAGATTAAGAATGTATAAAAGTCATATTCACACTTAAGTAAACTCACTGAATATGTTCTTCCCTCCCAATGCGATCCTATCGGTCCAGTTTGGTATTGATTTTCCAAATCTGCTCCATCTAACCGGGTACAACTGAAATGTTTTCTTGCAGCGTTCTAAATATTGTAAGTATGTATGTTTTGAGTTTTTTTTTAATTAAAGGAAGAGAAACCCAGAATAATTTTGTTTTTGATTTAGATCATGAATCGATTGATGTTAGACTTCTGTTGAAAATCTGGAAGCACTGGATGGCCAGTTGGTCCTATTGTGGAACTCCCCAGCGGTGTGCACTCAAGATCTTGCATTGCGAGATTCCAATCCAGGACCGATAAGTCTCTCGTTCGAACGCTTAACCTGTACGACACTGAACCGACCAGCCTACATCACTGTTAATGTCTAACTTCAAATAATCCAGGAAGTTGTGCCACCGTATACCATTGTTTTCAGCGATTCGCTATCTCACAACAGAATCGGTTGACCTTTACTGATCATCGCTTCTCACTAGAACTCCAGGAAATGCCTCTTGGAGACCGTCACAAGTGAGCATATTTTGATAAATATCAGAGGTCGTTTTTATAGATATTATAGTAATTTAAATAGTTGAGATTATGAGTCAATTGAATTTAGACCACCACGGCAAATCTTGAAGTAGTGGACGGCCGTTTTGTCCTACTGTGGGACTCCTCAGCGGTGCTCATCCACGACCCCGCCTCACGAGATTCGGACCCAGGACCTATCAGTTAAGATAGTGTACATCAGACGATGAGAAAAATTTCTTTTCGTTCCAGGTGGATTAGTGAATTTCTATCTAACATTTTCTTCATCATAAAATGATATGAATTGTATAAATACTTAACTAACCAGGATTTTAGGAGTAACGAAAGCATAAAAGTCTTTTGTAAACCATCCTGCTGCACTTCTCCATCTTCTTGTGATCTTTTGGATAGTGTTGGTACTGTGAAAAAGACGTTCAAAATATCAAAAACTTGCAATATAAGCACATAAATTCTTTAAAAAATATTCCTTCGAAAGAAAGCCTGGTGATAACGCTACACAAAACAGTAGTTTTCAAGAATTATTCAAATAGATTTGTATGGTGAACCGTAAATGAAATATTAGGGTCATCATTTTAACTAATCGTTTATTTATTGATCGTAAATGTTGGTACAAAGGGGCATCGAATATATGCACCACACAAGTCATTTGATTTGTGTGTGGGCTGGGATACTGCCCTGGTGCCCAAACCAAAGTAGATGGTTTTGTCAGGGGACCACATCCAGAGCCTTCTATATAAAGGTCTAATCCGCAAAGCAGTGGAGCAACTTCAGGAGATGCAGTCCCACGGTAGTTCGTGACCAACAATACGTTCATACGCCATTTGTTCCCTCTGGATCCTGGAGTTCATGTGCACCATTGGATTAGAATTAGGGTTTTCCAACTCACCTCTGCTGATCCTCCATATCCACCAACCTGTTTAAAGCGCCAAACATACGCTTATTGTCCTCTCAACTTCGTAAGCAACACGCCTGGTGCGAGAAAGCAGTGGGTAGGACTCCCCTGGCAGTGACTGTATACTCATTGGCATGTGAGGGCATTTCGAGAGAGAGAGCCATCTTCCTCACTCTCGGTCGTACCATGGCATTTTCGAGACTAATTATATATAACATATGTGTGAAATCTACCTTTAAAGATCAGTACAGAGCTTCTATTATTATTATATCAATACACAAGTAAATCAATCATACGCGAATGAAGAGTAACTTTGGGTTTAGAGTTTTGATTTTTTTTGACGCTGAGATACATCAGTTACAGATCTAACTTATGTGTTCACATGGTTAAGATTAGCCTATCTGTCAACGATTACTTGCATAGTATTGTTCATTCATCTAAATGAAGTTATCATTGCAATAATAATATGTATATGAGACAGCATTCTGCTCTTCCGTTTTAAATCTAGCATTGAATTCCAGTCACCTAAGGATCCTAAAAACACTGTTGATAGGACATTGAAAACTTGGAAGCACTGGACGGATGTGTACTGCTGAGAAGTCCCTCAATAAGACGAGTTGACCATCCAATGCCTCCAGGTTTTCAATGGTGGTCTAACATCATTCGGTTCACGATCTCAATCCAAAACTTAATAATCTCCACAATTCTATACTTATATTTCTGTATTAAAGGTTTCCTAAATTTCTATCGGTTGAATATACAGAAAAATGAAATTCTCACCTCGGAACATAATTTCCATATTGATCTTTGTATTTTGGCTTACGTTTATCGTCCCTGGGAGTTCGAGCTGTCCCATTTGGAAAGCGCATAAAAGGGAAGCTGGATGATGAAAATCCCTAAAATATAATAAATTTTAAAAATATTAAGTAATGACTATACAGAATCAGAATAGTATATATGAGCTTGTATATACCTGTTCACATTTCAAACACCAACATGTCAAGAATATGAACACTAGTTTCAGATAAATAACTGAATAACACTATAAAGAAAGAACTGATTGACATTTTGTAAATGAAGCAATTACTGTATAATTCTCAGATTTTACTAAGATGCTAGTATGTTCTAGTATGGGATTCCTCAGCCGTTCAGTGCTTCTACGTTTTCTATGATGGCCTAATTTGAATTGACTCATGAATTCAACTATAAAATTAATAAGTAACCTATGTCATGTTTACGTAGCTCTTAGTGCTGATCAAGTTTTATCGGTTAGTTATCAGCGTGTTGACCGGTCTAAATGTTTCGATATTCTATGCTTTTTTCGTTAGTTATAGGTAATTACGAGGGCATAAAAAAAAAAACTCGACATTAGGATACTTATTGTTTTCATGAAAAATATGTAACATACTAAACATATATTGACGGAGTTTTGTTCTCGGAGTTGGATGGTTTGGTCATGAAGATTTCATCCTTCTTCTAAACGATAGGTAGAATTGTGTTGATGATGTTGTTCAGAAGAACAATGAAAGTTTCACGACCAAACCATCCAGCTAAGTGGACGAAACTCCATAAAATCATCCATTTGAGCTACAAATCCTCTTCACTATCTCAATACTAGATATATTTCAGTATAATTGTTCAGTGATCTCAATGAATAGAAAAATACTCTTTATCTTATCAAAATAATAGATGAACTTACAAGTGCATGACCGATTTCATGCAAGAAAATTCCAAGTGAATTTCTATCTTCAGGATAATCAACTCCCATTTTTCCTGGGCACACATTTACAAATCCAAGAATTGGCCTGAAGTATTAAGTAGTATCAATATGTGGATATAAAACAATGAATGAATGATTCTCAATTAAACTAACTAACTAAGTAGTTACATTACAATTTCATTTTGTAATCTAAGTTTATCCAGTATTGCATTAAATGTTTAGTTCCATAGACATTGTAGATAGTTGTGTAGTTGGTTTAGTGACATATTATCTTACGTAATTTATGAATTAGTGTTATTTGCTAATGGGATTACAAAAAAAAATCCTTAGTTCAAACCATTTACTTTAGAGTTGACAATTTATTTAATTTTTCTTACACCTGTTACTCCTCGTGAAGGAGAATAGGCCAACCACCAACACTCTCCATTCAACCCTGTCCCAAACAATCCTTTCCACTTCTTTACAATTGTTATTCATCCTTTTCACGTCAGCTTCCAACTACCGACACAGTGTGTACTTTGGCCTTTCTCTTCTCTATTTCCCTTCAAGATTATAAGTTATGCATGCCTCATGGTGCAGTTGGGTGATTTCTGTAATGTATTTCATATCCATTTCCACCAACCTTTCCTAATTTACTCTTAAGCTGGAAGCTGGTTTGTTCTCTCCGACAGTAGGCTGTTGCTGATGATATCCGGCCAATGTTGGATGTTGATTATCTTGTGTAGATAACTATTTATAAATACTTGTACCTTTTTGATGATGGTTGTATTAGTTCTCCACGTTTCAGCTCCGTACATTAGGACTGTTTTGGCGTTCTTATTTAAGATTACGACTTTGATATTATTGAGAGACAGCTGTTTTGAGTTGCAAGAATGCTGTCCTTGCTTTGCCTATCCTCGCATTTACTCTTGCATCTGATCCTTCTTGTTCATCGATAACGCTGCTGAACAGGTACGTGAAAGATTCCACATCTTCCAGAATTCCGCCATGGAGAGTGATTGGAATGCTGCTCTCGGTGTTAAATTTGAGGACCTTGGTTTTCTTTTGTGTATGTTGAGGCCCACTGGTGCAGAGTTTGCTGCTACACTAGTTGTCATCATCTGCATTTGTTCGTGTGTATGGGATAGGAGGGATAGGTCATCTAAATGATCATGAACTGTCCAATGTATTCCGTGCTCTCACTCAGATTTCGAGGTCTTCATAATGCAGTCGAACGCCAGAAGAAACAAGAAGGGAGAGAGTAGACAGCCTTGTCTGACTCCGGTCCTTACTTAGAATGCATCGGTCTGTGCACAACCGATCCCTACGGGATCCAGCTTGTTGATCTTGAATTCGGGTATCCACTGAATCTTTCATCCGGTTCAGCAACACTCTGTTGAGGACTTTCTCTAGTACTGACAGTAGTGTGATCCCTTCTTAGTTTTCACATTTGCTCAGATCTTCTTTCTTTGGAACCTTGATGAGGTGTCCTTATTCTCAGTCCGTCGGCACCCGTCCCTCCTCTCAAAGCTTCTTGAATAGAACGTAAAGCATGTTTGCGGTTACTTCGATTTCTGGCTTTAGTGCTTCATCTGATATGTTGTCAGGTTCTGCTGCCTTCCCATTCTTGATTTGTCTGATGGCAATCCTGATTTCTGCGATCATTGGTAGAGTGACATCTCTAACAATGTCTGTGTTTCCTGAACTGGGATAAATCACTCGTAAATAAACTTCAAGGGTCAAAGAATGAATTGTACTAATTATCAATTTTCATTTACTGAACTTAAAGTACCAATAAATGGATAAAATTGGAAGGTAATTCCTTAGCTTTCACAATATTATCGTAAACATTTGATTTAAGAGTAGTATAGTTAAAAACATTTGTCTTTGAATAAGTAATTCAGTCATTTTTCTTACATCTAAAACAAGAATATGCTCTAATAAACACATCTAATTACCTATCTGTTTCCTCATCCATTAAACATGACGATGCATATGCTGCTGCACCACCATAACAGGTAATTGTATTAATAGCATCAACAAATAGGACATAACCGTCAGATGGTATTCCACTTCCATTATTGTAAGTTCTGTGTAATCGGTTATAATATTCCTGATAACATTCCTGAAAGATAATCATGATCGAGTTATTAAATCGTAATATTTTGAACACAAATAATAAATATAGATCATTGGTCGTGGAGCTTCAAATAGAAGTTTGTGCTGATGATGTCATTCAGAACGACGATGAAAGCTCCATGATTAAGCCATTGAGCTCAGAGAACGAAACTCCAACAAAATATACATCATTGTCTTACTAATTGAATAACAACTGGAAGGAGCTAGAAAGGATTGCCCTGGACAAGGTTGGATGGAGAATCCTAGTGAGAGGCCTAGGCTCCTTCATAAAAAGCAGCAGGCGTAAGTAAAAAGTAAGTTTACTAATTGAAATCTAGTTCAAGTGATGTCATTTTAACTTATATAGGGATTGAATAACTCTTGAAGATGATGAGTTGTTTTTATCCAATTCTCTTTGAATAAATGTACATAATCTTAAAGGATGATGAGATAACTTAAACAGTGTTATTCTGAAATTTAATGGATTATCAGTTGTATCTAATCTCTGCTCAGACCATCACAGCTGTTGTATGACAAAAGTCATACACCGAATTTTGAGAGAGTATTCACAATTCGGATGATATTAATATACAAATCTATATTTGTTTCTAAAGAGACTACATTTCAATGTTGATTTTATTATTATCCCGGCTCAGTGATCTAGAAGATAAGCGTTCGTGTGCGAGACCGAAGGTTCTAGGTTCGAATCCCGCGAGCGGATTCGTAGATGTGCACTGTTGAGTATTCTGTATTTCACATCTTCAATCACTTATAAGAAATGAATTAAAAATCTAATACACATCTCATTGTTGCATTTTAAATATCTACTATATTTATATCAGTAGAAATATTACACCTGTACTCATACTCACCCCTACATACTGATCTGGAATTTTCACCCGTCCGCACATAACATCGCGTTTGCACATCGACTGACGACAAAATATGGAATTATTTCCAATAGCTGTGTAATAGTATCCACTTTCACAATACCTTGATGAAACAAAATAAGAATGTTTTTCAGTTAAGAATAAAAGAAATCCATCTATTAAGTTTTAATCTGCAATTGTGAATTATTTATGTTACTTAATAGGATACCTTCAAACATTGAAATGACAAGAATCACAAGTGTGACAAGAGTGCAAATGATTACAAATAAAGAAACAAGTAAGCAAACAGTACAATCACCTTTTTGCTAGTTGTTTTCCACTTCCAGGTTTCTTGACTGTCAATGTTTCTTCCCAATACGTTATTGCTGCTCGTAAATATATCTGTAAAAATGTAAAATAACACAAACAAAGTATTACATTATTAATTTTAATAGTTGGGATCATGAGTCAATCGAAGCTAAATCATCATAGAAAACCTAGAAGCACTGAAAGCCGTTCCGTCCTATTGTAAAACTCCTTTACAGTGCGTATCCACGATCTCGCCTCACGAGGTTCCAACCCAGGTCCTATCGGTCACACGCGCGAGTGCTTAATCTCTACACCAATGAGCTGGCCGGCATCCAATCATATTAATGACTTACTTCAATCAATCCACGAAGTTGCACCACCATCCACGATTGTTATCAATGTGTTACTATCTCACAACAGATTTGGTTGAACTCCACTGATCACTGCTTCTCACTAGAACTCCAGGAAATATCTCTTCAAGCCAGTCACTAGTGAGCATATGTTCATGATTATCATAGGGAGCTTTTGTGGAGATTTTACTAATTTTATAGTTGAATTCATGAGTCAACTGAAGCTAGATCACTATGGACAAACTGGAAGCACTGGATAGCAGTTTCGTCCTAGCACGGGACTCCTCAGCAGTGCTCATCCACGATCATCCTCATCATTGTTATTCATAAGTGAATATATATATATATATAGCTATTCAAATAATCAAAACTTAAAACTGTTACAATTAAATCATTCATAGAAACATTGAAAAACATTACTATACTGAGAAGAATTTTTATCATAAATCATGTGAATTACTGAGAGTTTAGCATGATCTTTCATTGTGTAGAAATTCTGAGTAAAATGCGTATAAAACTTCAAACGTTTTGGCGCTGTATTCCGTCTCTCGACATCATCCGAATGTACAGTGACAGTATGATCCTAAAATTTCAATCAAATTCTCTAATAATATTGAATCTACCAATTTCACTAAAGGAGGTGAACCACAGAATGATGTAGAATTGACAATATGACATATGATCAAAATGAAAACCATTTAATGAATAAATGAATAAGCATATCTGTTAAGTATGGTGGTAACTAACTTATGTCATATGTATACCTATATATATATATACATGTTGTTGTTGTTGTCTGAAGTTCACAGACCAATCTAATATCTCCGGTCTATCTCGTTTGTTTATTTTTCATTAATATTTTTTAACAGTTTCGATGGAGATTCAAATCAATTCACACAAAAAAAAGAGAAAAGAAAAGAGAAAAGAAAAACGAAGAAAAAATAATGTAGGTTTACTTTTTGTCTTAAATTCAAAGATTCTGGACAATTTGATTTGATTGGTGATTCTCTTAACTTGAATAAGTTTAACGTAGTTTCAAAATAAAATCTTCCCCCATTACGAAACATTTGACTGAGTCTGATCATAATGAAATCAACTTTGCTCTATCCATATTATGATGATTTTTTGTAATTATTAATACTTTTTGGACATTTAAATGATTCTAGTAAACGGATAAAGAGAATAGTTGATATACATTCAAATTACCTACCACCTGATGAGTGAAATGGATACTAAAGAAGTATTAAACAATCAAATAGATAGAATGATGAAATTGGAATATGCAATCACTTGAAGTTGTCAACAAATACAAAATCATTCAGACAATTTAAAACAACCCAGGGTGTAAACCTTATAAAACCTAATTCAATGAAAAAGGTACCATTGTTTACTTACAATTGAAATGGAATTACAAAGTGAATAACTTTAACAATATCAGGAGGTGATGAGATGTAAGATGTTTTGGGATAAACAGTTGATATCTATTGAACATACTTAAACACGAAGTAAGCCATATTAACTTACTCACTTTCGCCTGTTACTCCCAATGGAGTATAGGGCCGCCTACCAGTATTCTCTAATTCACTCGGTCCTGGACCTTCATTTTTAGTTCTATCCAATTGTTGTTCATTCTTCTCATGTCTCTCTCCATTTCTCAGTTTAATTTGTTCTTTGGTATTCCTAGCCTCCTTTGGCCTTGAAGATTTCAGGTGAGGGCTTGACTTGTGACGTAGTTCGGTGCTTTCCTCAATGTATGTCATATTTACTTCCAGCGATTCTTCTTGATTTATTCTTCCACTGTTATTGTTGATTGTGTTTGGCCAACGGATCAGAAGTATTTTGCGTAGACAGCTGTTAATAAACACTTGTATCTTCTGAATGATGGGTTTCATAGTTCGCCAAGCTTCTACCCCATACAATAGAACTGTGTTGACATTTGTATTGAAAATTCTAATTTTGGTGTTGATTGACAGTTGTTTTGATATGTAAACTGACTATTCAATGTATTGAAAAATTCGACACTCAACTATTATTGATGAAAATGTAAATGTTTGTTAACTATCTATTTGGAACAGAAGTTCTAATCATCAATAAAATGTAATTCATTAGTTGAATTCATGAACCATTTGAAGCTAGATCACCGTGAAAAACTTGGAAACACTGAACGGCTATTTCGTTCTGGTATAGGACTCCTCAGCAGTACGCATTCATGATCCCGCCTCTCGAGATTCATTTTCAGGACCTCATATATCTAGATATTAATTATTAGACTTTAATTGAATATTGCATCTGTTGGATCTTACAACCTTCCCGAATTACTGTTGAAGTCAATTTATAAAGTTTCGTCAGATTAATTCAAAAATAGATATGCAATAATTTTTTTAAATATCTAGACTAAGTGTAGTCGAAGTACGTAACAGATTCCCTGAAGATTACCTAGTCACATTGTCGCTTTATATTATTCAGTGTCATAATGTCTCCATCTCTCACTTTAGCTACAATCTCACATTTAGAATTTAAAATGCTTCCTAATCATAAATATCAGTTTAAGGGTTGTGGAGATTATTAAGTTTTTGATTGAGATCATGAACCAATTGATGTTAGACTGACATTGAAAACCTGAAAGTACTGGACGGCTGTTTCGTTCTATTGTGGGACTCCTCAGCAGCGAGACTGAAGACCCTGGGTTCGGATCCCGCGAGAGGGATCGTGGATACGCACTGCTGAGGAGTCCGACAATAAGACGAAATGGCCATCCAGTGCTTCCAGGTTTTCAATGATGGTCTAACATCAATTGGTTCATGATCTCAATTAATAATAAATAATTTAGGCAAGAATTTGTAATGTAGAATCATTTATTAAAACAATTAGTTCCTTTGATAAACTTCGATAATACAATGAGAAGATGAAGTTTATCAAAATTATGTTATGATATATTTGCACAATACATTTCAAATAATCTGATTACGCATAATGTACTTGTTAAGACATTTTTATATGAAAATGAATAGTTCAACTATACAGGGTAAAGGTAGGCCATAACAAAGAAGCCAAAGCTTCAATAAACCTTAGTATATTATCCTTGAAAGCTTTTGTACAACACTACAAATGTTGACTCGATGTCAAGTTTATAACTAGTCTCAATCAAATGTTTCACAATGAAAGAAGATGTCCATCTATCCTTTGATCTTATTTAACCATTGGAATTCATAACGAAATCACGAATGAAATCTATTTTCAATGATTGTTTGATCCGGATCAGTTATTTATAAAGCCAAATAATTTAAGACCATAGTGTAGTGAATGAGAACACAGGTGAGGACAACCGAATTATATTTAGCTCAACATTACAGAGTTACTTGGTAAAATAGAAAAACTATACTATAACACTTAATTTACAAAATGTTCAGTAATTGTCTCGAACTTCATTGTTCTTGCATTTCTATACTAATTGCTTTCTATTCTCGTTGTTCCTTTCTTGATCTTCCTCATCTTCTGCTGCCAGACATTAAATTCCTGACTCGAGTTATATACTACTTATTTCAATATAAGTAGTACGCGCCACAAAACAATCAGAATGGTAGTCATGTAACGATAATCATAAAATAAGTTAGGAAGTTATTTTTTGCCCATTATCTAAACTCATTACAGTTTGTACAAAGGTGTTATGAACATAAATCTTCCATTTTACTCTATATGATTATCTAGGCTAACCTTATTTATGCGACCATGGTAATAAGAAGCCAAATATGAGTTGTATTAGATGGATTTATTTCAAGCTCATATTTATCCAAATGGACATTTAGAACAAAAAAAGCGACCTGATTAAATATCTGAGCTAATTGTTTTTATAATCTGAATCTTTTAATAAGTTATCTGCATTCTTATTTGTTTATTGATACATTACTTTTCTGGTTAGCGTTTTTTTTTGGCGAGTTAGTTTTCTAGGGGATGGGGTCGCTAACCCCATACCCAACCCTCCTCCTTTATCCGGGCTTGGGACCGGCATTAGCCCCTAAAGGAACTCCAGGCGGAGTTATTGATACATCATTATGCCTATTTAAAAGGGGTGTAATTTACAAACTATCAATGAATTACATTGTGATTAGTGAATAAAGTTTAATCATAATGAAAATAATCCAAACTTGAATTCTCTATTTAGTTCCATTAATTGGTTTCTTTTTATAAATCGTTAATGACACAAAATGATTACTCGTTTCATGATCATAAAAAGTTGTTAAGCTCATTATATGAAGTGTTTTAAAGAAGGGCTTGTCTTTCTATTTGCCTTAAAAAAAAAGAAAAAAAAGAAAACCAGAATATTTATTTACATTTTGTTAGTAAACGGTATAGTATCCAACATATGTAAATATATTCTAAGTAAAGATGTATAATGGTTAGCAGTAGATATCAGGATATGTATTTCAACCTCTTTGGGACTCGTAAGCTAGATGTACCTGCATCACGAAGTTGATGTTGACTATGGAACTCGGACTCAGTACTATTCGCTTCAAACACCATCATGTCATTCAGTTAGCTACTAAATCCTGATAGCTATTAAGCTTATGTAATGAAGTGAAATTTAATTCATCTTTGTAATGGTTGTTTGAATCTTCCGATTGATCATTGATCAGTCTTTTATTGGAATATGTGCATCCTGTGCGGATTGACTCGATATTGCCTTAAGTCGTAAGCTTTACAAGCAAAGATCGATAGTGACTAGCAGTAGAATCCAGGATGCGTGTTTCGTCCTATTTGATACTCGTCGGCTGGGTATACCTGCACCCGAGTTGATATTCACTTCAGACTCGAACCCAGTACCGTTCGCTTTAAACGCCATTGCGTTATCCACTTAGCTCCTCTCCCTAATAATTTCTCATATCCCCTTGAGTTTGATTTATAATTTTCTCTGAGGTTATATGATTAGTGAATAAACATATATAACTTGAAAATAAATTCGTTAAATAGACGGACCTTAGCTGAACTTCATCTTCAATACTTAGACGATAATTATGTCTAATTAGTGTTTTCTCCACTAAGTATTTTTAAATCATATGTTTACTAGAAGCACATGTTGTAAGTCGGTCATTGCTCGAAATGTAATAACTCTTTTCAAATGAAGTAATTAGACTTGTAATTCTATAATTAGTATTTTTGATTGAGATTATGGACCGATTGATGTTAGATCACCATTGAAAACCTGGAAGCACTGGACGGAAGTTTCGTCCTATTGTGGAACTCCAGAGCAGTGCGCATTCGCGAAACTCCTCGCGGGATTCAAACACAGAGACTTCAGTGTCGTGCGTAATGTTTAACCTGTAGACCACTGAGCCGGTCGGCATCCAACGGTATCAATGTCTAATTCCAACCAATCCACGAAATTGTGTGACCATCTTCCATTGTACTGAGGTAGATACCTGTTTGTACCTGACACGGATTAGCTTGTGATGTAGTTAAAATTGTTTAAGTTGACGATAATGATTT